TTATTATTTAGCTTGTGAATATCCAGTTGTCCCAGTACAATTTGTTAAAAAGACTATTCATGTCTTATTTACTTGTTTGGCATCCTTATTGAAAAGCACTAGGTGATAATGTGAGGGTTAATATTTGAATTCTCCCTTCTAATTCATTGATGTATAAGTCTGTCCTTATGCCAGTACAAAATCAAATTTTATGAGAACTTCTTCTCAGTCATTTTGCACATTACCAGTTGTTTTATCTATAATAATAAAAGCATGATATGCTAATTACACTATTTCTTCTGGGGTGGTGGTGGGGGCCAAGGCAGCCTCCATGGCAGTGGGGGCTGAGCCCCTTGCATGAATTTTGTGCATCAGGCATCTAGTATAATAATAAAAAGTCAGTGTAGTGGAATGTTTTTAACTCTACTTTTGTGAAGATTTTTTCTTCTTGATAAAGCCTGTGGCCAACTTATGTTTTGCTGACTTTGTGATATGATGAAAAAGTAGGCTTACAAAGATAATATCCATTTCTTTTTTCTCCATGCAAAAGTTTAATCTCTAACCCAGTGCCTCCCACTTCACTCCCATTTCCATTAAAATCCTGGTAACAGGATCTTCTGACTGGATGGAAAGGGGGCACATGCTAACCTGACTAGCTCAGGAAAGATCTGCATGGTGGCCTTGTAAACTCAGAAACCTAAAGTAACTACAAACAATAGACTGAAATTAAAACCTTTTAATTAAAAGTCTATGCTGGGTAGTCATATCTTAGGCTGGTATCTCTCCTGACAAGGATCAATTTTGATCTTAACTGAGCCTAATTTCTCTTTGCATCTAAATAACGTATCTTTGGTATGTCAGGGTAACTTGTAACTTCCCTTTTTTCAGATCCCTCAGGATGGAGACCACAAATTATCTCATTATTATTGTTATTGTGTTAATTGTTGTCTGTTAACTATCCTTTATGCACCTATGTAAAAGAAGCTTGTGTCTATTATTTTACTTTTTACCCAATCCCAGAGGTCCTCCCTACTCTTTGATTTCTTCTGCCACCCTATTCTCTCTTCAGTGGATTACATGTAATCCAGTATGTCTCTAGCTTTTATGGTAATTTATAAAAATAGGTGAAAACTCACCATTCTCAGGAGCAGTGTCTCAATGGGTTGAGATTCTGCTTCCTGGCAGTTGTCAACAGTTTGACTCAAACAAATTCACAAAAAGTATTTACAGGTTTGAATGTTTCTTATGTTAATATGACTTAGTCATTTATTTCACTACTAGGGGCCCAGGGCACAAACTCGTGCACCTTGAAAGAAACTGTGGGCTGCGAGACTGCAGTGGGCACAGGAGCAGGTTTCGGCCCATCTTCTGTGCTTCTGCCTGGCCCCTCCTGCCACAGCCCCCGGTCTCCTATTTGCCCGCAGCCCAGCTCTCACTGCCACTTTTCCCATGCACTGATGGCACCAGCCATGCTCACACCCACTGATGGCATGAAGGGATTGGGGCTGGTGCCAGCAGTGGGTGTAAGTGGTGGCTGCTGCCCCGATCGCCCCTCAGGAGCAGGGAAAGGTGAAGAAGCCCTCAGGGGCAATGGGGGTCAGTAGCCACCACTCATATCTATTTATAGCACCAAGTGATCAGGACTGGTGCCAGGCATTGGCAGTGGGTGCAAGCAGTGGCTCCAGTGCCAGCTGCAGATACCAGCAGGGCTGGCGCCGGCAGCAGGTGCAAGCAGCAGCTGCTGGTCCTGATTGCCTCTAAGGAGCAGGGGAAAGTGAAGAAACCCTTAGGGGCAGTGGGGGCCAGCAGCCACCACTCGCACCTACTTACAGCACCAAGTGATTGGGACTGGCACCAGGCACTGGCAGTGGGTGCGAGCAGTGGCTCCAGTGCCAGCTGCAGATACCAGCAGGGCTGGCACCGGCAGCAGGTGCAAGTGGCAGCTGCTGGTCCTGATTGCCCCTCAGGAGCAGGGGGAGGTGGAGAAGTCCTAAAGGGCACTGGGGGATAGCAGCCACTGCTCATACCCACTGAAGGTGCCAATCCATTGTGGTTGGTGCCAGGTGCCGGCTGCAGGTGTGAGCGGGGCCAGCACTGGCAGCAGGTACAAATGCCTGGTGGGACCATGGTGCGCGGGAGCGAAGAATTTTCAGTAACCACCAGAAGATCACCCAGATGATAGCGACCAGCACCCCACCTTGGTCTGCCAGCTGCCAATGCCCTGGTGGTCAGTGCATGTCATAGCAACCAGTTGTTTGGTTGTTCTGCCATTCGTTTTATTTGCATATTAACTTTTTATTATATAGGATGTTCATAGATTCGTTGATAGATTTTACCACCTAAGAAGAAGAAGATTAAAATCCGGACTGTCACCTTTCCTCCTTTGAAATCTCTCAATTTGAAATGTCAAAATTTTAAAGCAAATTTGTGTCCCGTAACATAAAGATGAGGTGGTCTTACCCTCCAATTCAGACAAGCTTAAAGTAAGGTAGAAGAGAAATTGTATTTGAATGGTGCTCTAAAAACTACTGCATTTGTTTTACTCCTGAGATTTAAAATGATTTCATAATGTTGTCTGTTTCCTCACTGAGGCGAGGAAAACTTAGCCCTGATCATAGAGTGATTCTTCGTGGGCCGTGGCTGTTCTCTCTGAGCTCTTCGTTCTGTCCTTTTCATAAGAAGTGACCTGTGCTTGCAGCTCTTTTCTAAGCCTGCTTCCTCCCTGTAGAACATCTAACTCGCACAGATTTCTCTTTATGGTCTTGGTCTCCCTTAGTCCAAGCTAGCAAGCAGGGTTTTGCTACTACAGTTCTCTTAGAAGCTTTTTGAGTTTCCTGTGAATTTTATTGGGGTTCATGCCATTAGAAAGGCCACTTTCACAAATGGTTTTCAGATAGCTTGGGCTTCCTGGAGGACAGTGCCTTTAAAATTCTTACATTCTGAAAATCCTTAGAGGAATTTGAGGCACCATGTAAATCTCTCTGAGATCTTAAGGGTTTTATAGTCTTGCTTAGTTATCCTTGGATTGTTTTCCAGGAAGTACCCTGGATTTGATGTTAGCCCAGAAGCCATTTGTTTATTTTAAAATTATTTGACAATTGGACATGTGGGAGAACCTATAAATGGGAAGTGGATATTTGAAACTGTAAGTCCTGGTTCTTTTATATTTAACTAATAGTTCTGCGCACAAATCCATGAGCCAGTAGCTCTCTTCCGCCCTCATGTAGCTCTCCTCATCCTCTTCCACCCCTCCTCCCCATCCCTCATAGCTTGCTGCCCTGCACCCTCCTGTAGTTTTTCCTGCTCGCTTGTAGTTTGCTGCCCCACCCTCCTCCTGATCTGGTCATTACACATAGGTGTTATGGCTCAAGGCATAATGGATAATTAGCATATTTCTCTCTTATTATATAGGATAGTCTTTCTTTAGCTTATTTTTCTCATCAATTTCTCTGTCAGCTGCTTCATGGTGAGAATCCCTGTCATCCTTGTTTCAATGTCATTTTGTTCACTTGCCTAGAAGCCCCTGCTGTCAGCTCTTCAGGGGCCATCAGGCCTCCACTAGCCATTTCTTGGAGGCCCTTTGGTTTTCATTCTCATGCTTCTCTCCATCATCTCAGGTTCCACCCACTTGCTGTTCAAAGGGGCCCCCACATGTGTGTGGTTTTTTCTCTTTTAGTGTTAACACTCTATTTTTAATGTCAGTATCAGTGCCAGTTATTAATTGCTGCTAAATAAAACACCTCCAAAGCTGGTAGCTCAAAACAGCATTAATTTTGTTCACAAATCTGCAGTGGGGCCAGGTTCAGTAAGGCCAGTTCATTTCCTTTCAACTGCCATCAGCTAGGATGACTTGAAGCTGGGAACTGGAATCATTAAGGCTTGTTTATTCACTGGTCTGTCAGGGGCAGTGGGCTTCTTGCTGGGACGTTTGCTGGGGCAGGCTCAGCTGGACACCTATACGAGAACTGGCTACGTGGCCTGGGTTGCTTCATGCTTCACAGCATGGTGGCTGGGTTCCCAGGGTGAGCTTCCCTAAAAAGAGAGAGTCAGACGGAAGCTGTATCACCAGACATAGCAGTCACACAGCAGTGCCACCCTATTCTGTTCACTAGAAACTGTTAGTACAAAGGCCAGCACCTATTTCATGGATTAGTGCCAAAGAATTTGTAGATGTGTTTTAGAAACTCCACAACATTCACCTTGTCTGATTAAATAATCACCATATCTAAAGGAAGTAGTTTTCCCCAAGTCATTAGGACTGAATTTCCAGCAAGTTTTTGTTGTTGTTGTTTAGTATGTTCTTTTATTTTGTAGAAAATAACAATTTCAAGATAGCACTACTAAACTAAGCCTTTTTGTTGTTTAGGTTTTTTTTTTAAATGTACGCTCATCTCACTAAACTTTTATAGTGGGAGATGTGATTTCTATTTAAACATGGTAATCATTTCTTCTTGGAATGCAATTTAAATTAGCATCAAACATATGTAATAACTTAATCAGTAAAGAAATTAAAATTAATTAACTAATTAACATCAAACATTGGTAATTCAGTCTATGATATTAGAATCTATATTTATGAGATTAATTATAGTCTTATTTTGAAAGTGTTATTTGGGGAGGCATTTATTTATTCAGGTCTAAATATTTCAATATGATGTCCCTAAAACTTCTTTAAAAACTATGGATAATTAATATTGGGGAAGAGATAAGAGACTTTCTACTAAGAGGTGACTTATTGTCATTATGGGAAGGAAAGACATGAAACAATCATAGAAAAAAGACTATAAATTCAAGTGTACACATTGTGTGGCAAAGATGACAGTAATTATATTTTTTGTGACTCCTGATGGTTTTAACTTTGGTCTTGATCCTGAATAATTCAAAATTCCACATTTTATCTATTACAGTACAGATAACATTTGATTGCAACTGAATTTATTTCAAAATTTGATACTGGTGTTGAGTTAGACTATTCTTCATCTACACCTTCATAACCAAACTATATTATTTTATTCATACAGAATGATGATCTTACAGCAAAACTGGAAAGTGCATCTTCAAAGTGTATACGTCTGGATGAAAAAAATAAATTTCTTCAACAGGAGTTATTATCTAAGAAAGCAATACAAAAGAAATGTGAAAAGCTAGAGAATGAAAAAAAGAAGTGGAAACAAGAAGTACTAAACCTCAATAGACTTATGGAAATGAATGTGGTAGAATTTGGTGAAGTAGAACAGTATAAACGGAAGATTGAAGAAAGAGCAAGACAGGATGTAGTAGAAAAATTAAAAGAAGTCAATTTATTTTTACAGGTTAATTACATTGTATTTTCCTACTTCCCTTAATAGCAGTTCGTTTTGTAGATTTCTGGAAGGAAGGTGGCTTTTGTTTCTCCTTCCAATATTTCCATTTTTATCATTATCACCAAATCAGTCTTTCAGAATGATTTTTATTAAAGGATCATTTTATTTTTAATACCAATGAGTGTAAAATAAGACTATTAGGAAGAAAATTTTTAAAAAGTAATTTAAAAATTATACCATTATCTATATCATAAAAGCCTAAGCGACCTTTATGGCAGAACAACTAGAATGAATGTCGCTATGATGTGAACTGATCACCAGGGGGCAGACGCTCAACACAGGAGCTGCCACCTGGTGGTCAGTGTGCTCCCACAGGGGGAGTGCCACTCAGCCAGAAGCCAGGCTCATGGCTGGTGAGCACAGCAGTGCTGGCAGGAGCCTCTGCCGCTGCGCTAAAGAGCAGCGAGCTGAGCAGTAAAGAGCAGCGAGCAGGCGGGTGGTAAGGAGCAAGGAGGTGCCAGACTATAGGAGGGATGTCTGCCAGTGGGGTCCTGGACTGAGAGAGAGCATAGGCCAGGCTTAGAGGACTCCCCCCTCCAGTGCATGAATTTCATGCACCGGGCCTCTAATTATTAATATATTGTTCATTTTTTATATATAAAATATATTTTATTGATTTTTTACAGAGAGGAAGGGAGAGAGGTAGAGAGTCAGAAATATCGAAGAGAGAGAAACGTCGGTCAGCTGCCCCCTGCACACCCCCCACTGGGGATGTGCCCACAGCCAAGGTACATGCCTTGACCAGAATCGAACCTGGGACCCTTTAGTCTACAGGCCGACGCTCTATCCACTGAGCCAAACTGGTTTCAACTATATTGTTCAATTTTTAAATTGATTCTATTAGTCTTGAATTATTTAAATGTTTGGGTATTATTTAAAGAGAGACAAGACTTTATTTTTATAACGTAGATTTAGCTTTGTTAACATTGATATGTAATTAATTTTTTAAGCTTCAGCTTTTTTTCATGTTTAAAGATGCTCCCTTAATCATTGACTCAAAATTAAAGGAAACAAATATAACTATTCAGATTATACTTATTTTATAAATACATATTCTTCTTACTGGTCTAGATGCAAGCAGCATCTCAAGAAAATCTAGAGCAGTTAAGAGAGAATCATAATACTTCAATAAGAAGTCAGTTGGAACTCAGAATTAAAGATCTGGAATATGAACTCTTCAAAATGAAAACTTCTCAAGATTCTAAAGAAATAGATTTGGAAAAATATAAGCAACTGTACCTAGAAGAATTAGAAGGTAGAAAATCATTGACAAATCAACTAAACAAGTAAGTCAAAACACAGGTGTGAAAGACAGAGGGGCAGATCAGAGAATATAAATTTACCTCAGTTAGTTTCTAAAGCATAATTTTTATCGAACCAGGTTCAGGAGATTAGTAGAATGTGGAAACTAATTAATATAATTTTAGGAAATGTTACTGAATGAACTTTCGTCAAATCTTTGTTCAGAACAGTTTGCATCTCTCCATCATTTTTTGTATATTTTTCCCCTTAATATTTTCATGTAACTAACCTGATCTACTAGTCTTTAAGCTAAGTGCTAAATTTATAATTATACAGCAATATTATTATAAAATTGTCAGAATTCCCCTAAATAGAAATAATAACGAGTTTAACTATTTTTTTAAGTTAATAACTTAAACCCAAACGGTTAAGTGCCAGACACATTCTGGCACCTGGTAAATTTACTTTATTGATTGTGATCTTTGTTAGTATCACTAAAGGGCACCTTGAGAAAACTATCCTTACATAGAGATATATGTGGTAAAAGGGAAAGATTAGCATAGGGGTGAAGGGCAGTATAATTGACAAAGGCTAAAAGTAATAAGGTGGTCTGTCTGAGGGGGATGTGGAAGACAAAGGGCAGATCCCACCTCTAATGCCTTGATAACGGTGTTATAAGCTGCTTGCCCCCAAAGCTGTTTTCATTCATTCTGATCACCAGCTAGACTAGTGGTTCCCAACTTTTTTTTGGCCATGCCCCACCTAAGCATTTCTAAAATCCTCCCCTCCCGCCATGCATATAATCTTATTCAAAACTTTAACTCAAGCCGAGACCGGTTTGGCTCAATGGGTAGAGCGTCGGCTTGGGGACTGAGGGTCCCAGGTTCGATTCTGGTCAAGGGCATGTACCTTGGTTGCGGGCATATCCCCAGTAGGGGGCGTGCAAGAGGCAGCTGATCGATGACTCTCTCTCATCGATGTTTCTAACTCTCTATCTCCATGCCTCTCTGTACAAAATCAATAAAATATATTTAAAAAAAAAACTTTAACTCAAATTCACGTGGAGGAAGCCTAAAAGGCCATTAATTTGGTCTAAACAAGCTTCCAAAGAACATGGCATCCATGAAAGAAAAATAAAAGAATGAAAGGACAGTGTAAGTATTGAGGAAGAAATCACTAAGAAATTGTTAAAAATAATAATATGAAGTGATATGAAAAAATAGCAAATAAAGTTTCAAATATGTAAGTAGAGAACTGAAATGCATACATATGTCAATGTATAATTATTTACTATATATGAGGCCCCTGGGACCCTAAGAAATGCAAATATTCACTGTTAATAATTCATTCTCGAATTGCCCCCTTGGGGGCATGTGCCCCAGGTTGGGAACCACTGAGCTTGGCCAACTTGTTCTGCCTTAGAGATTGTTGTTCTAAATTATGCCTTGGCAAAATGGTTAAAATCTCCAAGATAATGAGTGTATTGTACAAGGGTGATGAAAGCAAATGCTTGACAGTGTCTTAGAGAGGTGTGTTTTTTTAATCTCTAAATTGGTTCACTAAATATGTCCAAGGGCATCTTTGAGAATCTTCTGAGTATAGCCCTTCCAAAAGGCAGCATGTATTATTTGATAAGCCATTTACATCACTAACAGTAATTTCTCCTCTGCACTTTAGATTACTTGTTAGTTAGAAACTCCCATTCCATACAGGTACTTCTTTAGAACAATTTAGAACCTATACTTATAGTAGGTCTGCTCTGACACATTTTCAGTGTTAAAATCTTGTTTAATGGGAAATTCCATTTACTGTTGTGACAACTTAAAAAAATGTAAGTCACTTAGGGGAAAGGTGAGTACTAAGCATTTGTTTCCAATGTTCACAGGACTAACGAGAGGCTAGCAGAGATCAGCACCGAACTTCTCCTGCAGAAACAGCAGAACAGGTTTTTAGTCAGTGTTCCTAATACAAGGCCAGTCCTGGAGACACCTGGTGTTGGAAACTTTAATAATAGTTTTGTACTCTATGGACATTCTACTCCTAGAGAAAGCGTGGTAATTCCTACCTCAAGTCCACGGATTTCAAACAGCAGCATAGAGGCTTACTTGATCAAGGTTTGTTATTTATCTTTTTTCCTTTGGGTTTCTGATTTTTGATACAATTCTTGCATTTAATTTGGTGAAATTCTGAGTTGTTTAATTGACTAGTGCATACTAAGTCAAAGTCTTCATTATTTTGCTTACGTAGAAAGGAGACAAATATTTTACAATTTTTTTTAAATCCCTAGGGCTCTCATTTTCAAGAAATACCTATAGTTAACTGTATTGAATAAATGTGACTAAAGTGATACATTTTAAATTTCTTGAAAAGCTGCATTACAGTTTTATTTATTAATTAAATATTATTGCCTAATGATGCTTTAACTTACTTTCTAATGGGTTTTATTTTGGTGATGGTTCGTAACAATTATTAAAGTTTTGCTGCACTCTGGTTTTTTCACCCCTAAGCATAAGTGAATGATTGACATCCAAGCACTTATCCATATATGGATGTAGTTATTTAAGAAAACTGAGATAAATACTCTTATGAATTAAATAAACTTATAACTCTGAAAGGATTAATTTCTATTATTAATTGAAAAATTTTGTCATCTAAGGGAGAAAACATTCCTAATTGCTATTTTACTTATGGCATTTTTATTTCAATTTTTATCAAATGTGTTGCTGAGCAGTTGTACGTTTTCTATATAGTTAAATTAAAATATTTGAATGTTAAATTTTTTAAATATATTTTTTATTTGTGAATTTTTAAAATGAAGTTCACTTATGTCTGAATACCTTGCTAACCCTTGAATGACTGATGACTAACATGGCAGTGATAGGGAGTCTTGAATTAGCAACTAGTTTTCATTGTGTGTCTTCATCTCATTTGTTGATTTCTTTAGCTCCAGAATTTGTTTTGCTAGAGGCTCCTCGCACAGACACCAGAGAGGTGTTACTGGACAGCCCCGCGCCAGTGGGAGAGGACTGTCCGCAGCCTCAATCCCTGTCTTCTCATATAAGTTAATTAATACGAGAGACCTTGATTGCATTGTGTAAAACCAATTTATTAAAATAATTAAAACATGCAAAGCAAATTAAAGAAGCAAAGCAAACAAGCCTATACATCTGGCTTATGAAATGCAGATGGGTTCTCCACTAATCAAAGAGTGAGTTAGGTGGGGGTCTGAGGTGTTATATACCCTCCTGTCTATAGGTTTCAAAATTCCTTTGCTGAATATTTTGCAACAGGTTCATTCTCAATGTCCCATTTTACTTTGTTGTGGCCTTCCCGGAACCCATGAGAAGAACTTTATCTTGCCAAGCCTTGAGTCCGCTGGCTTTTCTGCTTAGGGAATAGAACTGCCCTCTTTTCCTTCCTCCTTCCCCCCTCCCCGCCTTTTCTGCATTCTCTCCTTAGGGAGGTTTTAAAAAATTTGCTCTCAAGTGTCCTTGGCTAAAGAAGATAATGGTTTGTTATTTACAAGCTGGCTGCACATTGCCCTCAATGTTGGGCTTTGTTTTAACTTTCCTTTCTCAGTTTCCATATTCCTCCTGCCTTGGAATGCAGTTTGATTCTTTTTGTAGTTTTCATCTCTTTGGTAAAGTACTTATTTTCATTAATTTTATTTCTGAGCTCATTAAATTATCTTTTGAATTTGTATCTCGTTGAATTTCTTCATGACTGCTATTTTGCTTTCTTGCTCATTTGTATCACAAACATCCATCATTTTGAGTTTCCTTCTGGAGAGTTGTCATTTTTTTTTTCTTTGTTAGTGTTACTTTGTTGGAGAGTCAAAGTATAAGAGGTTTAGCCTTGGTTGCAGGTGCCAGCAGCAGGTGTGAGTATCAGGTGGGACCCTGGTGTTCAGGAGCAAAGAATTTTCAGTAACCACCAGAGGCTCGCCCCGATGACAGCGACTGGCACTCTACCTGGGTCTGGTGCCCCCACTCACCTACTCCATCATCCTACTGCGGCCGATGCCCACCATATTCCACATTCTGCCGCCTGCTGCTGATGCCCGCCATGTTCTGCACGTGTCCCCTGGTGGTCAGCGCACGTCAATAGCAACTGGTTATTTGGTTGTTCTACCATTTTGTTTCTTTGCATATTAGGGTGTGTGTGTGTGTGTGTGTGTGTGTGTGTGTGTGTGTGTATAGACTAGAGGCCCAGTGCACAAAATCCCTGCACGGGGGGAGGGGGGTGTCCCTCAGCCCAGCCTGCACCTTCTCCAATCTGGGATCCCTTGAGGGTTGTCCAATCATCCATTTAGGCCCAATCCCACTGGGTTGGGCCTAAATGGGTGGTCAGACATCCTTCTCACAATCCAGGATTGCTCACAACTGCCCTCCCCTGCTTGTTCACTTACTTTGTTTTCTAGATTCAGTTGTTGATAGCTATCTATTTATTGCCATTATTTGTTCATATTTTTTTCTTCTCTTAAAAGAGACCCTCTAACATTTCATGGGTCTTTGCTTTTTATCACTATGAATATTTTTGTGTCAATCCCTTCTGACTTGCAGAGTTTCTGTTGAGAAATTAACTGATAGTCTTGAGGGAGCTCTCCCTTGTAGGTACTACTGCTTTTCGCATGCTGCTGTTAAGATTCTGTATTTGACTTTAAACTTTTTCATTTTAATTATGATGTATCTTGCTCTGGGCCTCTTTGGGTTCATCTGTTCTCTTCCTGGATTTCTATGTTTAGTTCCTTCACCAGGTTAGAGTTTTTTTAATTACTTTTTCAAATAGGTTTCAATTTCTTGTTCTGTCTCTTCTCTTTCCAGCACCCCCATGATGTGAATGTTTGTAGGCTTGAAGTTGTCCCAGAGGCTCCTTACACTATTCTCATTTATTTTTTAATTTCTTTTCTGTTCTAATTGAATGTTTTTTGCTTCCTTGTACATAAACTTTCTGATTTATTCTTGGCTTCATCTATTCTACTGTTCATTTCCCTATAAATTATTATTCTTCATTTCAGTTAGTGTATTATTTATGGTTTTTTTGTTGTTGTTTTTTTTTTTTTTTATGATTTCCATGTATTATGCTATTGATGTTCTTCCTAAGGTCATTGAACAACCTTATAACCTGTGTTTTTAATTCTGCATCTAGTAGATAGCTCATCTTCATTTTGCTTAGTTCGTTTTCTGGAGTTTTATTCTATCCTTTCATTTGGGATTTTTTTCTCCTCATTTGGTGGCCTCCTTTTGTTTGTGTCTATGTACTATATAGAGCTGCTTCATCGCCCAAGCTTGGTAGAGTGGCCTAAGTAGTGGGTGATCTGTAGGACCCAACTGCATAGCCTCCTCAATCCCACAAGCTGGGCACTCCAGGTGCACCCCCCTTCCTTTTGCGGGCTATGTGTAGTCTCCTGTTATAGTTGGCCTTTGATTGCTATGAGTGGGAGCGATTTACCCCCAGCCTATCAGCTGCATGGAATGGCTGTGACCACCAACCACCACGAAGGATTAGCTGGGTAGGGGCCCACCCTACTGGGCAGGCCTAACTTCCTCGGGGCTCTGGTGCCAGCTGAGTCCACCTCTTGTGGAGGTGGTTGGGTGATGCTTCAATATGGTCTGAAGCTGTCCACTGGTTTTTCTGGTTCTGGGGCCTTATTGGAAGTGTTGGCTAAGGTTAGCTGCCACCCATGTCCTACCTGGGACAACACAGCATGAGTTGCAAAGCAATCTGCAGATGGCTGGGTTAGAAGGTACCCAAGCTGTGAACTAATACTGATTGCTGCTAGTACTGTTTCTGGGGGCCACTTAACAAAGAGGTACATGGAACACTGAAGCTAGATGCTGCTTTTTTGAAAGATTTTAGGAAAAATTTGTAGCATAAACCAACACACAGTATTCATATGGAAAAGCCACTGGGAACAGCTTGGGTGGCACCACATGTTGGTTTTGGGTGAGTTTCAGTGGATCATCAGGGCACAAACAGTGCAAGCCTGGTTGATGGAGCCTCAGATATAATGCCTGCCCTCGCTGTACAGTGTGGGGGAAAGGGATGTCTTAGAATAGAAACAATGGCCTCTGCCAGCAGTTATGTCTGGCAGAAAGCTATGCTTTTGCCCTGATGCCAGAAAATTCAGTTCCTCCTCATATGGAGCTGCTACCACAGCACTAGAGTTCAGAGGCTGTGAGTCCAGAGTAAGTTTGTGCATGATCCCTTTAAGAGGAACTGCCTGGGACTCCCAGCAGCCCTCAAGTCTCCCTCAGCCACAATCCCTGCTGGTTGTTATAGCCAGACGTATGGGGACTTTTCTTCCTGGAATTGGAACCCTGGGCTGAGGTACCTGGTGTGGGGCTGGGATACCTCACTCCTCAGGGGGACCTTGGCAGCCAAGATATCTCTGCTGATTTTTATCCTCATATGTGGGTGTGGGACCAACCTCTTTCCACTGTTCTCCCCTCCTACCAGTCTCAGTGTGCCTTCTTATTTAAATCCCTAGTTGGAGAATTTTCATTCAGATAGATTTCAGGCAGTTCTGAATGATGATTGTTCTGTAATTTTGCTGTAGTTTTGATGTGGTTGTAAGAGGGTTCAAGTACCACATTTACCTACACTGCCATCTTGCCAGGAAGTCTCTGATTCAATTTTTATAAAGGGAAGTTTTTCTAAGAATTTCAAAATTATGGATTATGTGTAAAATATGGCTTGACATGTTTAAGCTTCTTTGTACTAGTGAGATCATGTTTATTCAATAGATAATTATTAATTATACTTTTTATCAGATTAATATAAATAGCATTACTAGTACACATTCCTGTTTTCCATTATCTAAAATTTTAATAAGAATTTATTCTATTTTAGTTATGTGATTATTTTTCTATTTATATAATCCCTAAGTTAGGTCTGGTCTACTTTTCATAAGCTATTTATCATTTCTATAATAATGTGTCATGTTTTACTTAAATACAACAAATATTTGACTTATTTCAGATGCAGCAGGACTTTGAAAAAACTCTAACTAAAGAACTAAAAGAAGGTATGTTGCCAAAATTTATTAATTAAATTTAGATAGCATTGATTTCTGAAATAAACTGTAAATAGTAAGTGGCATTTGTTTCTATGTTTGGGTAACATATACTGCATTAAATGTTTTCTTATACATAATGAAAATGTAAAAGCACAAATATTCATAAGGAAGAATACACTTATTCTGCATTTATTTATCATATTCCATAGATTTTTAAAAATCTCAAAAGTCCATGTATCTCTTTTCATTTCTGGCTGTTCCCTTCCTTTCCTCTGCCATCCTATGGAACTATCAACCTACACACTGAAACTGTCAGATAACTGGGCTTCATCCACTTCTCATGTTTTCGCTAGTGATGTGATACTTAGTCAAGCAGTTACAGTTCATATAGCTATAACCGAGGGGTGACATTTAGATCTCCAGTCATTGACTTTGTCATTGGTTTACCTTTTATCCTCAGGAAAATCCCCAGATTCCTTTGCATGGAGTAAAAATACCACAATCCATTTAGTTCTTGCCACATAATTCAGTCTTATTTTTAGAAGCTGCATACCCTACTCTGCCCTTTATTCTTGCATCTAGGCAAACTGGACTACTTATAATTCTACAGTGATCTTCCTCACCTCTAATCTTGACATCTGCATTTCTCTTTCTGGCATAGTTTTTCCTTATCCTTAGGTATGAACTTACAAATCCCTCTACCAAAAAACCAACAAGAATGACACAAACCTGGGATGTCCCTTCTGTGTGCTCCAATGGTGCCCTGTTGCCGGAGCCAGCCGGCGATGTACCACACCTAAATGAGGGGGTGAGGATAAGAAAAAACAGACAAGAACAAAGCTGGGAACAGGCGGACGGAGTCTGGGTTGACTGCCGTCCCGAGTTTATTTCTTAGCTCGTTTTTATACAGCAAAAGCAGGGAGGTACAAGATACAGGTCAGCAGATAAATATCTACTGACCTTTAGGCTAAGTATTTACCCAGCACCACATCTTTGTTTCTATACATAAGCAGAGAATTGTTTCCTAATCTACACGCAAGCAGCAGGTTAAACAGTATATGTTATTCTTTACAAAGGTCAGTAGTATTTTTACATTAACAAGCTGCAAAACAAGCTGATAGCACATTCTCATGAGAGCTATGACTTTTGTCCTACCGGAGCTGTGTCCACCAAGAGACCCCTGCTTTCAGAGCAGCTCCGAGGAAAACGTCCCCTGTTTTCAGGGAAGCTCCCAACATCCTGTTTGTTTTTTTCGGTACATTTGACTCTGAATGGAAACTGCCTACTTAATGTCTTTTCAGTTTGACTCTGTCATCTTTGTCTTGTAACTTCAGCACCTGTCATATTACCTTAGTGCATAGTGTTGAATAAATAAATGAAAGACAAGAAAACTAGAAACTTTCATAGCCACAATATCAACCAATTCAGTGTGCTACCATTGGAAAGTTACATTTCATAGTATTCTTGTGTTATGTATATAGTCATATATAGATGTTTTTATTCTTCTTAACACTTTTACTTAGTTATAGTTTAGGTAAAGAATATAATTCTTTCTTTTTTTCCAGATGCTGCTGAATTTGAATCTGAATCCTATAGAGCTTATCCTGTAGGATCAGTTGATCAGTCAAATTCATATCAAGACTTACTTTTGAAAACGTCACGAGAATATGTACAGATTTTGAAGAAAAATTATATGATCTGAAACATAAATAGTAAAAATGTATTTACTGGACTATTTACAAAGCATTTTTATTATTTTCCATCAAACACATATGAAATCTTTATTAAAGAAAAATATTTTGGATCACATTTGTGTGATGAAAATTTATATAATATTTTAAACTCTATTTCTTGGCATCTAATTAACTTTTAAGCAGGCTTTGTAGGTTAAAGCCAGCATTGTTGAGTTTTACATACTCAAACTATCAGAATGCCAACTCTTTGAACAATGCCCAAACAACCAAGTTGTCATTCATACTCTAGCTATATAATTGACAGCTTTTGTTAATTGTGAATTTTTCAATTTTATCTCTATATTTGGTCCTAAAGATTTGGACAGACATCATTTTTATATGTGCTGCTATGGCTACCATCAAAGTTTGGATATATTACCATTATTATAGACTTATCAAATATCCTACCTAATAAAAGAGTAATATGTAAATTAACCATCACTCTGCTCCAGCCATGCCCACCAGCCATGCCCACAAGCCAATCAGAGCGAGTATGCAAATAAACCCAACCAAGATGGCTACAGCATAGAGAGCAGGAGGGAGGCATTTCCCTGGCAACAGAGGAAGGCAAGATTTCTGCCTGCCCTTGCTGGCCTAAGCCTCTACTCAAGGCTACAAAGTTTCAATTATAGAAGGTAACCAAATCCAAACAGAAACTGCTGCCACCATGGAGCAAGCAGGAGGCTTGGCTCTGCCCCAGGCTACAAAGTTTCAATTGTAGAAAGTAAATATATCCAGATACCAGGGCCTCTGCTTAGGTCACTGGGGGGGATGACTAGCCTGCAAACCACTACAGACCCCTCACTAAGGCCACCCCATGCCCCAAGGGAACCCCTACCCTGATCCGGGACACCCTTCAGGGCAAACCAACTGTCCCCTACCTGCGCACTAGGTCTCTATCCTATCTAATAAAAGAGTAATATGAAGATTGACCATCACTCCAACACACAAGATGGCTTCCTCCATGTGGTCAAAGATCCTGCCCCTATGTGGACACAAGATGGCCAGAAGAGGAGGGCGGTTGGGAGGGACCAGACCTGCAAGGGAGAGCATTTGTGGGTGATCAGACAAATAGGAGAGGGCAGTTGGGAGGCACCAGTCCTTCAAGGGAGGGAAGTTGAGAGGGACCAGGCCTGCAAGGGAGGGCAGTTGAAGCGATCAGTCCTGCAGGGGAGGGCAGTTAGGGGTGACCAGGCTGGCAGAGGAGAGAAGTTGGGGGCAAACAGGCTGGCTGGGGAGCAGTTAGACATCAATCAGGCTGGCATGGAAGTGATTAGGGGATGATCAGGCTGGCAGGCAGAAGCAGTTAGGAGCAATCAGGGAATCAGCAGTCCTAGATTGTGAGAGGGATCCCAGATTGGAGGGGCTGCAGCTGGGCTGAGGGACAACCCCCCTCCTGCATGAAATTCTAGTGCAATAATATTATCATTTATGTGAATCAACTTTCTGGTCTTGATAAAAATCACTTAAATATTTGACAGTTATCATTTCCTAATACTAATATTAGGAAAAATTCAAAGTAAATATTTAGTAATGAGTGAATTAATGAATTTTTAAAGTCATCATATAAAAAAACTATATAAAAGCCTAAGCAACAGAACGACAGAACAACTGGTTGTTATGACACATATTGACCACCAGGGGGCAGAGGCTCAACACAGTAGCTGCCCTCTGTTGGTCAGTGTGTTTACACAGCCAACCTCCCATGGTTGGCCAACAACCTCCTACAGTCCCTCCCATCATCCAGCCAGCCCTCCCATCAGCCTCATTCAGGGTGAGGGTTGGCTGGTCAGCCTCCCCCAGTCCTTCCTTCCCTTGGCTGGCGAACCTCCTGCAGACCCTCCCCTGGCCAGCCAACCTCCTACAGTCCTTCCTCTCAGCTGGCCGACCCTCTCATTGGCTTTAGTAGGGGGGGGCCTGCTGGTCAACCTCCTACAGTCACTTCCCATGGCCAGACGCTCTCCTCCCAGCAATTGGCCCTGATCACCATGCACAAATTTCTGCACCAGGCCTCTAGTTATTATATAACAGGTCTTATTCTCCAATCATATAATGCTTAATTCATGTAATATTTGACACAATTGAATGAGAATATGCTGCTTATATATCTCACATTTGATTAGGGCATTGTTACAGGGTTTTGGGAATGGTTGCCTTTGTTTATGTATTAAAGAATTCATTAGAAAAACGTTTTTAAAAATGATCTTCACCTGTAAAGTGATTAACATTGAGTATAGATAATGCCCTTTTGTTCTTATGTAAAAAAGTCATTTTGTTTAAATATTAATATTCTTACTTTCTGTGAAAAGTAACCATTTAATTCATTTTGTGTAAATGAGCTAAACATGTTGATTATAGTGCTATAATAATTATCAGAACAATGCACTTATTACCTATTTTATTAATAACTAAGCATATATTCCCAGCTTATCCAAAACATGACATAGAAGCATAATATTAAGCAATTCCCAAATATGTTTGAAATGTAACTATCTGAGGAATCATATCTAGACAACTCAATGGATATTTGTACAAAAATTAAAATTATTTTGGGTTTTGTTTCCTAGTGTTTATTCAATTAAGAAAGAATTGACAAATTCCTGACTGTGTAAAAAAATCTGAAAAAGTGTAAAGGAATCTGTTTTTTTGTTTTGTTTTTCACATCATGTAGTTACATAATCTGCTCTAGTGAGGGATTATGCAACTGAGAAACCAAGCACTTTTGTCAAAACCAGAAAATTAAAATGAAATTCATGTTTCAGAACTTTCCTACCCAAATGCATTTAGTGTAGTAAGAGAAAGGTGGCTTGTGAATATGCATTTTTATATAATTCTTTTTTCTAACATTGCTAAACTTATCATTATTTGAAGCATTTCAGTGGTTTAAAGTACTTGAAAATTTGTGACATTGAAATATACAAGTATTTTAATGTTAAAAATTCATATTAAATAATGAATATTTGAGTTCTACAAGGTATTTAATTTTACTTATTTTAACCTCAAGAATATTTTGGAAAAGAATAAAAGGATATTACTCAGAGTGATACCACTGTTTCAATTTTCCCCATCACCTTCCGGACTTCTTCTTATAGACATGCATTTCTATAAATCTTCCTTTACAGGTTCTTATAATTGACTTCTGGATTTTTTTCCATGATGTTGATATAGCAGAGTTCTCTATTGTTATTTCCATTAGTTGTACAACAAACTTTTTGCATTACAGAAGATTTTGCATTTTAATTTTCTACAAATTGATTTATATAGTTCCTACAGAAGTTAAAATTCTGTAACTTAAAAATGATGTAATTTGGTGTATTTAGATTTCTTTTTCATCTCTCTTTCATGCTTTACTTACATTAGCTATACCACTTATTACATGGTTTGTGATTACTATCAGTTACTAAGTATTCTTTGTAGACTATATTGAGCCAAAGGCTACAAGGAGTTTTACTTATTCTTACTATACCTGAGACTATAAGTAGAAGCTTAGTAAATATTTAATATAGTTTGAAAGCTTATATTAAGTAAAAGCTTAGAAATTTTTGATATAGTCCACTTATGGTATCAGAATATAAATCTGATCGTCAGATTTAAATCTAAAATACTGAACATCAGAATATAAATCTAAAATACAATGTGTAGCCCCACCCAGTTTTGTGCAGTGGATAGAGCATTGGCCCACAAACCTAAGGGCCCCAGGTTTGATCCTGGTCAAAGGCACAAACCTCAGTTGCAGGCGCTCTCCCTTGCTCTGGTCAGGGAGTGTGTGGGAGGCAACTTATCCATATGTCTCTCCCTCTCCCTCCATTCTTCCTAAAAATCAATGGACACATACTCTCAGGTGAAAATTAACCAAAAATAAAATACAGTGTGTAACTTAATTTAGTTTTTGGGATTATTGGCATACCACTTGTAGTTTGCATATACTGTGGTGAAAAGTCATGTCTCTCTTGTCCACTCTCTTGTCTCTCTCACCTCAGATTTTTCTGGGTACTAAGTGTTCTCTCAGGAAGCCACTATGCCCACAGGGAGCAGTTAATCCCACCAATGTAACATCTGTTCGTTTTTTATTGGGGAAAATTAACTAGTTAATTCTTAGCTTTGGAAGTGGCCCTTAGATAGGAATGAGGCCCTTGTTTCTGTACTCACCATCTTGACAAGCATAATTCTGGGCCTCATGCACTGGTTTTCTTGTTCTCTGCCATTTGAAGAATCGCTAGTTTTTTAAATCAACAGGTAGAAACTTTTTTTCCTCTTCTACATCAAAGGGATTTGCTTTTACTCTCATGTTTGCTAGTAATGTCAGCATCAAAAACATGCTGGCTCAAGGTATAAGATTTATCTTAATGTCTGGTCATCAAGAGATAAAGAAAATTTATAAATATCTAATGCTAACCATAGATCTAAAAGTTTATATTTGTTCTGAAATTCAGATATGAAGATTAAAGTAAAACATGCACATTTAAAAAACAAAATAGAAAAAGAAAAATCTAACAGAATTGCATAAAATGCAAAGTGAAATGTCAGTAGATTACTGCTGTTGCTGGTTATAGTGCTTTTACTGGTTACTGCTGTTGCTGTAATATACCTATACCACAATTTCTCAATTTCTTAACACTAGATAATACCACTGACTCCCTGTTATCAAAGATGAGGAATCCAGGAACTTTTACTACTTTCTACTTCATTTCCCCTACCTTCTGTTTATCACTTTTGTAAAATTGTGTTATCATTTTGGTTCTTCTGGGTAGTTACCTTTAAAACTCTAAATAATGTAGTTAAACCTCTGTGTCTCAATCTGTCAATTGCAGGTCCCTTTGACATAAGATTATACTATCCACCTGTCTTACCTGTCCTTTGCTGATAGGGTCAACTTTCCATTATGTTGAGGTCTATAACATTTACATATCTTTACTATAATCACTTTGATTATTATTTAACTAGTGGCCCAGTGCATGAATTCATGCAC